GCAGGCATTCAAGGCCAGGCTGGATGTGGCTCTGGGCAGCCTGGGCTGCTGGTTGGTGACCCTGCATGTAGCAGAGTGTTGGAACTGATGAGCACTGTGGTCCTTTGCAACCCAGGCCATTCTGTGATGCTATGACTGTGATTCTTTCTCAGTGTGGTGCCACTTGGGTCCAGACCAGCAGAAGCAGCTGTGTGCTGCTGTCACTGCACACCTTGTGGCAGTCAGGATGGGTGCTGCAGAAGATGCTGTGTTGCTGGACAAGGAGGGGTTTTGTTCTTTCCATTCTCGCACTGCTCTTCAAGATTCACTTTTTCACTGACATTTCTTGTTCTTTTTGTTGCAGGACATTGATATTAATACAGATGATGAACTGGATGCATATATCGAGGACCTGATCACAAAAGGAGACTGAATAGCATTACACATCCTCAGGAGGTGTAGAATTGCTGGTTACTTTGATGGAGATGTGGATTCCTGCAGTAGAAGTCTATGACAGCAGATGAAAGAAGAGAGCTTGTAGACAGTGCTGCCATTTTTGGTGTACAGCTTGTTGTGACTGAAAAGACATTTGTGCTTTTGGCAGGAAAGTTTTTAACATTATAATTCTCTGAATTTCTTTCTTCCTTTTGTTTATAAATATTTATTTTTAAAATAAATGGGAACTGTGCCTGGTATGATGGGAGGGTTGCTGTGTGGTTTTAGTGAAGTAAAAGTGTGGGTCCCCTTTTTGCATCTGAGGTACATGTTAAACCTGGAAGACCAGAATCTCATGCCTAGCAAGTTGTCTCATAAGAATCTGACAGGAAGTTTAAACTAGGTTTTAAACACTGGGAGAGGAGGCCAGGACTTGAGAACTTCTCTTGATGTAGAGGAAAAACGGTTAGAGACCTGAGCTTCAGAGTAGGGATCCAGGCAGTGTGTGTGGAGGGGATGCAACTGTGAGGATTCTCAAAGCTGAGTGTGGGGGTAGGGGCTGGCATTCGTGCAGTTGTTGAGTGTAGGGTCTGTGTAAGCAGGTGGAATTGTCGTGGTGCTGACAGCACAGAGGATGAGGATCCTTTAAAGAGAGTTTGGCTGCTCACGTGGCTCGCAGCGAATTGCGGTGGTCAGAGGAAGAAAGCTGGAGTTCACGTTCTTTCCTAGCAGTTGTCACACTAGCAGTTATTGCTGCTGTTTCTTTGAGACATAATTGCAACAGCAGCAGAGCCCCTTGGCCAGCTGAAAATAAAGTGACCCTATGTTCTGTCCTGATTCCCTCAGGTCTGTGTTGCTTTGATCCTCTTGCCATTCCAGGTAATTTTAATTGAAGTACTGGAACTCAGAGCCCTGGACTGCTAATTTTTGTCAGGCCCTTGGCTCAGCAACAAGGACGCTGCCTTTCCCTCTTGCTCCAAGCTGGAGGCTGAATTGCAGCTCCTTGCAGAGCACTTCTTGCACAGACCGTGTGGTTTGAGTTCATTGGCCAGCTGTCTGCTCAGCTCTGCTCACACGAGACGAGTACAAATGAGTCCATGCTCAGAAACCTCTACAGCCCAACTGCTCAATGAGTCACAGCGTGAGCAAGACGTGCCCACCTCCAGGAACACCAAATGAACTGCGCTGTTGCCATTCCTTTGTAAGCTGAATGTGTGGTAGATGTTGCAGGGAGGAAACCCAGTTCAAAGTAAACATCTGTTGCTGAACAGCTCTAAGTTCTGCTTACCACAGGAAAAATAAAAAGCAGAAAAGAGGGAAGATTGGTTCATTTACCCGCATTTCAGGCCCTTGTGACAGCATACAGTCTGAGGCTGATTGCTTTTGTTCAGGTTGAGGATCCTCGTGTGCTTGAAGGTAAGAAGCATCCCTCCATAAATGCAGGAGCAACCTCCACCAGCTTCTGAAGCTCTTCACGTGTGTTGGAGGTGTGTTAACAGGGATTGCACACTGCTGCTCAGGTAGAGATGTGCCCTCTGTAGGACCCGAGTTCTGTGTTGAGGTGAGAAGAAACCTTTGTCCTCCCCAGGTGAGCGGCAGGAGTTCTGAAGAAGTAGATTTCATTGAAGTACAGCTCGAGGATAATGCAGTTTGTAAGCTTTAATTCATACCACTGGGAGCATGGCAGTGTAGAACCAATAGTCATCATGTGTTTCTAAGTTGGATCCCATACTCCTCCCTTTAGGAAGGTGTTACATGATTTTATTCCTCTGTTTTCTGGGAACTGATTATTTTCAGTTTTAAATTTCCTTCTTGGCATTTCATCTCTGTTCTTGTACCAAATATTTTTGATCAAGTTTATATTTCTTCACTGGAGTTACATTCATCAGTGCAGCTGATGCACAACTGCCTCCTCTCACCTTCAGTTCTGCTAGGAAAAGGAAGCCAAGAACTCTTAGGTGCTAATAAAGCCATTCTCAAGACCTTCTGCTGTTTCTTTGCAGCAGTTTCAGTTTTACTTAGAATCATGGAACCATTTGAGTTGGAAGGGACCACTAAAGGCCATCTGGTTCAACTCCACTGCACTGAACAGGGACACCCACTGATCAGGTGCTCGGAGTCCCATCCCCTCACCTTGGGTGTCTGCAGGGACAGGGCATCCATGCAGGTGCAAATACATGTATTTAATAATGAGGCAGGAAAATAAATGCTTGAACATCAACTTTTGGGTCTTGCTGTGATGATTGTTCCAGGATAACTTTGCCTTAGGCTCAAGAGGAAAGAAGAAAGCTGAAGGCAGCATCTGAAGGAGCTCCTACCTAAAGGCAGCCCTGTGCTGACGGTGTTTTCTGTATGTCTTCAAAGCCCACGTGTGTGCCAGGAAAGGCTTTGCACAAGCTCTGTTCCAGTGGTAGCACAAAACCAGACCCAGCTGCTCTTCGGCAGCGTTGTGCTGTGCTGTGATTCCCATCCTGCTCTTCACTCGGTGTGTCTTGTAATGGGAACTAGGCCAGAGCTTGTGGCAATTGGTTCCTCTGTGAGTGAGATGCAGTCCTGTGCCTGCAGCTATCTTCAATCCCCTCTTCTTGTGGCCTCAGGGTCCCAAGATGTAACTCACACTTGACCAGCGCCTTCAGGCCGGGAGCATTAAGGCCCTTCTGAGGCCAGTGTTGTGACCAAGCCCTCAGAGCAAAGCATCTGCTGTGTTGGTACCTGAGGAGCAGGCTCAGGCTGCTTGTGGCCACGGCTCCAAGGCTGCAGCTGAGGCTGGCTGGGACAGCAGTGGTGTGCAGGTCTGGGATGCTCAGCAGGTCTGGGATGCTCAGCCACCCCGGGCTGCTCTGTGGGGCTGAGGGAATCTGCAGCCCAGCTGCCGTGGGGGCTCATGAAGTGTTGCATTGTCTGTGCAGGGGCTGCGGGCGCCTGGGAACGTGGGCGTGAGCAGAGGTGCCAGCCTCGAGCTGCCATGTCTCCAGGGCAACACCTCGGGGCAGCAGAGGAATCCCCAGCCCTGCAGGGCAGCCCCAGCCCGACCCTGGCTTTGTTGGCTCCCTGCTGTTTGTTCGTAGACAGGAGGACGAGGCCTTCCTTTTCCTGCCAGCTGCCTGGAAGCGGCTCCGCCGACATGAAAAGCTCCACTGGTGTCTGCCCCGCAGGAGAGAAGGGACCCACTGAGCGCCGCACTGAGCCCTGTGCCAAGGCACTGCGAGGGGCACAGTGGGCCCTTATCCCTGTGCCAGGAGCAGCTGGCAGCTTCCTACCACAGCCACGAGCTCCTGGCAGCAGCAGCAGCATCCTCAGCCCCACAGCAGCATGGGGCAGCCTGAGCCTGGCCCAGCTGCAGGAGCTGTTGTGCTGCTCATCCTGAGGCCCACTGCTCCCCTAAGGTGGGCGCTGGCTGTGGGACCCCTTGGGGTTCTGTATGCCCTCATGCTGTAGGGCTGCATTGCCCTTCAGTTCCTCCATTCTCCTCCTGCCCTTTCTTCAGCTCTGCCAGCCTTGTGCAAGCCACTGTCCCACCATATCTGAGCCAGAGGACAAGAAGAGGGGGGCCCAACAGCACAGTCAGGGTCAGTATGCCACCACCACCCCCATCCCAAAGCTCCGCATCTGTCTGAGCCTGAGCAATGAGAGTACATTTGGAAGCTGGAGGCAGTGCCTGGCTCCTGGCGCTTGCCCACCACCTCCTCTTTCCTCCATGGGCACTTCGGAGTGCAGACACCGCACACACCTCCCAGGTATGAAGCACTGGAGCAGAAACCCAGAGAGGACCCCAAGCTGTCCCAGCTCCTTGTGCCAACACAGGGCTTGGCACCCTGGGGCAGCAGGGAGGGGACACCTCAGCGCAGAGCAGAGCTAGGGGAGGGCAGAGCCTGCAGGGTCAGCTCTGCCTATGCAGGACACAGCCTTGAAGCTGGCAGGTGCTTTTTGTGCTGGGATGCCTTCCCTCTCCCTCAGCCCTCCATCCCGGTGCCCACAGCAGGACCAGCTCCATCCCCACTCCCTGTGTCTGGGGTTTGGCAGCTCACCCCTCATGCCCACGGCTGCAGGGATGTGGCTCTGGGTCTGGTTGGATCTCACAACCCAGGGCACAGCAGCCCCTTGCAGAGGCTGAATGGCTTGCAGGAGAGCAGGACCAAGCTGGAAACGTGCCCTGCTCAGGTCGAGCTACCATTAAAGCAAGGAGGAGCTAGGAGGGCTCCAGGTGACCGTGCAGGGCTGGGCTCAGCATGCTGCGGCCACAGTCTTGGGTGTGGGGGCTGGGACAGAGTAAGAACCCCATTGGATTTGCAGAGCTGGGACTCAAAGGAGAAGCCTTTGGACTGCCAGCAACCACCCGGCCCCAGGACAGAGCTGTCCCGTGCCAGCAGGAGGGTTAACTCCACTGCGGCACTCCAGGAGTGCAATCTCATACCAGCCCCACGCTATCACCGATGCAGGACTAACTCCTGCCGAACGCACTCTCCGAACCCGGTGCGACTTGAGCGCAGAACGCCTCCAGCGCTAAACCGCAGCCGGGGCAGCGCCGCGCGGGCTCCGACCGCGACGGGACGAAGAAGGGAGCGAGCTCCGAGGGCGGCACGGCCGTTTATTGGGAGGAAGGGGCGCAGCTACACCTTGGTGCCCCCCGAGGAGGGCAGCTCGGAGCGCTGCGTCGGAGCGCTCGGCGTGGAGGAGGCGGCGGGGGGCGGTCGGGCTCCGCGCAGCCCCAGCAGCGCTCGGCACTGCGCGCGGAAGCGGCCGTCGAGGAAGGCGTAGAGCAGCGGGTTGAGGCAGCTGTTGAGGTAGGCGAGGCAGGTGGCGTAGGGATGCAGGCGGGAGATGAGGCCGAGCAGAGCGCACGGCAGCTCCAGCAGCCCGGCCGCCGCCAGCACGAAGAGGCTCTTCAGCAGATGGAAAGGCAGCCAGCAGCCGGCGAACACCCCGACCAGCGCGGCGATCAACCGCAGCAGCCTCCTCCTCGCCGCCGCTTCGGCTCTGCGGGGCCGCAGGTGGCGGCGGACGGCGCTCCCCACGCAGCAGTAGCACACGGCCATGAGCAGCAGCGGAGCGGCGAAGCCCAGCGCGGTGGTGCCGAGGCTGAGCGCCGCCGCCGCCCGCTCCGCGCCGCCGCCCTCCCCCCACAACCGCAGGTCGCACAGCGTGCGGTTCCGCGCGTCCCTCCGCGCCTCGCGGAGCAGCAGGGCGGGCAGAGCGGCCGCCGCCGCCGCCGCCCACAGCGCGGCCAGAGGGCCCAGAGCCGCGGGGCGGCGGAGACGCGCGGAAGCGGCGCGGGGCGGCGGGGGGGCGGCGCGGAGCACGGCGCGGTAACGCTCGGCGCTCAGCCCGCCCAGGCAGAAGGCGGAGGCGAACATGTTGAGCAGCACCAGGTAGCTGCTGAGCTTGCAGAGCGCCGCGCCGAAGGGCCAGTGGAAGCGCAGCGCCGTGTAGGCGGCCCACAGCGGCAGCGTGGCCACGAAGGCCAGGTCGGCCAACGCCAGGTTGCCGATGTAGGCGTCGGCGGAGCGCCGCTTGGCTCGGGGGCCGCGCCACACCGTCAGCAAAACCAGCGCGTTGCCCGCCAGCCCCAGCGCGAAGACCAGCGCGTAGAGCGCGGGCAGCAGCGAGAAGGACGCCTCCCAGTCCGCCTGCCAGGCGCACGCCGTCCCGTTGCCCTCCTCCTCCTCCTCCTCCGCCTCCCCGTAGTAATAATCCGCCTCCGCGTACTCCATCGCCCCGCGTCCCCCCGCGCCGCTTCACCTTTAATAAGGCGACCCCGCGCACCGCCCCGCGGAGGCGGAGAGCGGTGGGAGCGGCTCCGGGGGCGATGGAGGGGGTGCGGGTACCCAAAGTGCGGCCAGAGGGATGGGGGGGGCTGTGCTGGGGCTGCGGGAGTGAGGATTGTGCGGGTGGGAACGAGAGTGGGAGGGAGTGGAGGGAGCGGGATGCAGGCGGGGATACAGTGGAGATAGCAGGTAGATGTAGCAGGGATAGATGTGGGAATGCAGGCAGGGATGCAATGGAGATGCAGTAGAGATGCGACAGGGATGCAGTGGGGATGCAGGCAGGGAAGCAACAGGGATGGATGCAGTAGGGAAGCAGCAGGGATGCAGTAGGAATATAGCAGGGATGCAGTAGAGATGCAACGGGAATGCAGTAGGGATGCAGGCAGGGGTGGATGCAGTAGGGATGCAGGCAGGGAAGCAACAGGGATGAAAAAGAGAAGCAATAGGGATGGATGCAGTAAGAATGCAGGCAGGGAAGCAACAGGGATGCAGTAGGGATGCAGGCAGGGAAGCAACAGGGATGGATGCAGTAGGGAAGCAGCAGGGATGCAGTAGGAATGTAGCAGGGATGCAGTAGAGATGCAACGTGAATGTAGCAGGGATGCAGGCAGGGAAGCAGCAGGGATGCAATAGGGAAGAAGCAGGGATGCAGCAAGGATGCAGGCAGTAGGGATGCAGTAGTGCAAAAGCTTCATGCTGAGCACAGTGGGACAGCAGATGCCACTCTGGGCACAGTGGCATCCCATCCCACCTCACACCAGTGGTCCTATTGCTGGTGTGGCCATGCCAGAGGTGAGCAGGACCTGCAGGTGTCAGGGAAGAAGGCAAAGCAATCCCCACAACTTCCTGGCCAAGGTATCCGGAAGCAAATTCTGTGTCATCTGGTCTGGTTTCCTGCAGATCACTCTGTTTTATCTTTTTTCCCTTCTCTCAAACAAGAACATCCTTGTTTGAAGGGTCCCTCACGGAAGCCACTTCCCCTGTGTGGGTCCCAGGTTGGCACACACCCAGCAGCAGTGCTGCCAGCAGTAGGGGTGTGGGGCTGCCTCACGCAGCAGAGGTTCTTCCCTCGCTGGGATGGGGAAGGTTCCTGTTCCCCAGTCTGGCTGATGCCCCTGTGTTGCAGTGGCCCTGTGCTGTGGAGTTGGTCCTGATGCAGTGGCTCTTAATACCTGTACTGGCCACATCTGTTGTCCTTCTCCCATAAGGCCTGCTGGGATGCCCTGCTCTGGAATTTGGCACCATCTTCCTTGGGACACCTTTAACCATCACCAATCCCTCCACCGTGCAAAGATGGAAATGTCTTTGTTCAACATTCTGTCCTGCCAGGAGCAGCTGGGGGAGCCATGCCTGCATCAGGGGGACAGGGAAGGCTCAGGGCTTTGGGAGCTGTCCTGCATTCTTTGCAGCAATTGGGGAGGGCTGGGCTGGCTGGTGCTTGGCCAGGGGTGCTGCTCTTACTTGTTCCAAAGGCAACCGAATTCCTAAGCAACCGAACTGGCAGGAGAGTGAGAAGCGCTTTTTAAGTCAGGAAATACAACTGAAAGGACTGCAGGAGGAAAGAAAAAAGAAAAAGTCATATTACATTATTTCACACCTTTTGGCACAGCGTCTCCAGCAAACCAAAATGCCATACAGGACAGCAGGAGCTTGCCTGTCCTGATCCCCTGGCATTTTACTTTAAGGTGCTGTGACCGGTGCAGTGCCCTCAGCCCAGCTGCTCTCACGCCAGCAGATCACACACTGTGACTCCATCTTTCCTCCTGCTGGCCCACATTTCAGTGCTGGGGCTCCTTGCTATTCGTGCAGAGGATTGTAGCTTCCCTCTGTGGTTTCTGCAGGACCCTGCATCACATTTGCCTGTATTCTTCATTTTCTCTATCTGTCTGTGAGGCACCGAGGCTCCAGCTGGTGCAGCGGGGAGGGCTGTGTCCCTGGCACTTGCAGAAGCATTCACAGGAGGTGCCTCTTCCTGTCTGTCTCCCCACAGATTTCGTCTGTCACTGCTTTTTTTCAGCAGCAGCTGCACCTCCAACTGAACTTTCCATAGAGGCTCTTCAGTGCTTCCTTTTCCCTGAGATCGCTGCTCTACAAGAGACAGAAGATGAACGAGCAGCTTTTCTAACATTTCTCATATCCCTGAATTTGCACCTGGGCTGTTTTTCCAGCAGTCAGATGCACACAGCCTCATCCGCCTATGCAGGCAGTATCTCACCATCTCACACCCTCCTGGCCCTGGGGGCACCGCAGCTTTGCCACCCACTTTCTAGGAAGAGCAGTCCTGTTGGGAATCAGGAGGAGAAGGAGCCCTGGGGTGAGCTGAGTCCTGCAGATCCAGCCAGGGCAGGGCCAGGAGGAGCAGTCAGCCCTGTTGCATTGCTGGTGGGCAAAGCAGAGGAAACCTGCTCCTTTCCCAGGGCAGATGCAGTTACCAGGACAAGTTTGTCAGCTTCACAAACAAATATACAGAAGGCCAGTTAAAACCTGGGGGCATTTCCCTGCAGAGATAACCAGGACGGTTTGCAAATCAGGAGAGCAAAAGGAAAATGCTGTTAATGTTATTCGTATTTTATAAGCCAGCGATTGCCTGCAGGTGCAAGGCTTTCTTAACCACAAGGAGAAAAGGAGAAGGCAGGGCTGAGAGTCTTTCACATCCCCAGGGTTCAAAGGGGAAACACAGCGGGTATTGTGTTGCTTTCCTACTAAATGGGGTGGTGGTGTTCAATTGTTTGAGGGCATTTGAATGGGCCAGCTCTCTGTTTTGATCCCAGATTTCTCCCAGAATCAGGGCTGGGGGCAGTGGGCAGATGGAGTGGCACGGGAGGGGGCTGTGGGTTGTCACAGTGCTGCTGCGAGGACCAGGATGCTGATGTGCAGGGAGGGAGTGGATTCTCATGGTTTCAGAGCTCTGTAGAGGCACAGAGTTGCAGCAAGGGCACCGTAATTATTACGGCATGTTCAGTGATATGAAAGCACGCATCTATGGATATTGATCCTGAATAAGGTTCCTTTGCATCTGTTCGTTTAAGCGTTGCCTTCGACCGTCGCTTTGTTATTGAGCACTGCAGCTTTCCAGTTGTGCCTGTATGGATGTGGAAGGTTGCCAGGAAGGCTCCGGGGGTTGTTTTCCCCTCCAATGGCCCCGATGACGGCAACACGTGGTTGGTGCAGGGATTGATGCCACCTGTGCAGCTCAGGACGTGTCCCGACCCAGCAGCGTCCTGTGGGAGGCGGGAGGAGAATCATAGAATCATAGAATCACAAGGTTGGAAACGACCTGCAAGATCATCCAGTCCAACACCCTCCCATTCCTATCAGTACCACAAGCACTAAACCACGTCTCGCAGCTCCTCATCCAGGTGCCTTTTGAACACTATCAGGGATGGCGACTCCACCACCTCCCTGGGCAGCCATTGCAGCGCCTGACCACCCTCTGAGAGAAAAAGTTTCTCCTAATATCCAACCTAAACCTCCTCTGGTGCAACTTCTGGCCGTTTCCTCGGGTCCTACTGTTTGCCTGGGAGAAGAGGCCAGACCCTTTTGCACCACAGCCTCCCTTCAGGAAGTTGTACAGTGCAATGAGGTCTCCCCTGAGCCTCCTCTTCTCCACACTGAACAATCCCAGCTCCCTCAGCCGCTCCTCATAAGGTTTGTGCTCCAGACCCCTCACCAGTTTCGTTGCCCTTCTCTGGACACGTTCCAGGGCCTCAATGTCTTTCTTGTAGCGAGGGGCCCAAAACTGAACACACAGGAGCGGGAGCTGCTGCCCTGCGCCCCCCCACGGCTGCGGCCTGCACACGGCGCCGGCCCCGCCGCCATCTGTGGGGCGTCAGGCACAGCGCTGGGCTGCGTGCTGTAAGAGGGGCGCGGGGAGGAGCCAGAGCCGGCCTTCTTCGTTTGGCGGCGACAAAAAAGATGCCGTTGAAACCATTCTTGTACCCGCTGCCTGAAACCAGGTTCCTGCACGCGGGCGGAGTTGTGTATAAGTTTAAAATCCGCTGTGGCAACTTGCAGAGGTGAGGGAGCTGGAGGGAGGAGCTTTGATGAACCACCCCGGGTTTGTAGAGGTGACAGGCCTGAGAAACGAGAGGGAAGGGACGGCGCTTTGGTTTGCCCGTGCTGCTGGCAGGCAGGGAACAGAAAGGAAAACAGCCTTCGGATGCCTGGAGGATGAGGATTTGGAGAGCTGTGTGCCGTCACGGCAGCGTGTGAGCCTGGAATTGAAGTGACGTGAATTACAGGGTGCTGATCAGCCTGCTCAGATGGGGAAGGTGGTCGTTACAAGGTGAAAACGTGGCTTTCCTGGGGGCACTGCCTTGGGGGGATCTGCTTGGATCTGCTTGGATCTGCTTGGATCTGCTTGGATCTGCTTGGATCTGCTTATCAGACCAACGGGTCCCGCTGTGATGGAGCAGAACCCAGACCGACTCGCTCAAGAAGTTTTGGAGCTCTTAATTTGAGAGAGGACTCAGAATCCTGGAGGCTGTGGGCTGTAATAGTCACAGAAGTTGGGGGTGTTCTGGCAAAAAGAGATATTACTGCCTCCCCCCCCCCCCCCCAACTAAGTGGTTTTAGACTCCCCTCGGGAATTTGCCTTTCAAGGCTGTGAGCATCAGCAAGCAGCAGTCCAAGGGCAATGCCCTCAAAAGCATTGTGCTGTGATCTTCCTCTTGGCTTCAAAAGCAAAACCCATTTACAGCCATTTCTTGCTTTCAATTTGGAGCATTTCTGACCTCTTATCTCTTGTATCACAGAATCACAGAATTGTAGGGGTTGGAAGGGACCTCCAGAGATCATCGAGTCCAACCCCCCTGCCAAAGCAGGTTCCCTACAGCAGGTCTCAAAAGAATCCTGGATATTTTTAAGAACAACATTTCAAGGTTTTATCCCCTTGCTAAGAATTTTCTCTCTGCAGTGAGAATGTTCCCTGCTTACCATGTTTTGTTGTCATTTAAACTCTGTCAAAGGATTTGATCCTTCCCTTCCCCA